AGTGAAGCTTGAACTTACTGACGACATTCTGCACGCCGATATTGATCAGGTCCCACGTTGCCATCGGGTGTCTGGATTTCAAAGCCGCCGGAAGACAAGGTTGCCAAAAGTTATAGTGCGTATCGTCTCGGAATGCCCTCAAAAATGACGACTTGTTGTTGTGGAAGGGCTTTACGGTGGGCGTATTTCGCAGAAAGGTGACCTCGTTGCGGAAGTTGGTCGCACGTGAATCGTGCGTCCGTGGGAGCCAGACGTGCGATCGTTTTGTTTTAATTTCGAGCAATTACCACGGCAGTTAACGATCTCTGTCTTTCTCGCTCACTCGCTCTCTCTCCCTCTCACTCGCCCTCGTGCTCTTTCTCACGCCGGCAGAAGTCTTTAGGGGAAAATGAGACTTCGAAAATGATCTCTTCTTCTCACTCACCCACTCTTTCTCTCTCCCTCTCTCACCCTCTCTCTCTCGCATTCTCTCGCTTTCTCTCGCTCTCTCTCTCTCTCGCTCTCTCGCTCCCTCTTCTTTATTTAATCTCGCATTCAATTAGCCTAATAAAACCATAAATTCATTTCACAATTTTATTTTGGCGCCGAGACAGACACTGAGATATTTTGCAGCTGTCTCTCATCCTCCCGTAACGTCTTGATGATGATGACGGCAAAATACGCATTAAGGAGAGGCTTCGCGGTCATCAGGTTGAAGAAAATATTTTGGTATCGGAGGAAGAAGGGCAGCCAAAGGACTCGGAAACAGTCGGGGATGGCATAGGAGATGAGCACGGATAGGACGATGGTTCCTGGAATTTTAGGGGTGAATCTGGGCAGGCTAGCAGAGATCATTGAGGAAACCAGCGCTCTTTTACAACTCACCCCCTCTCATCGCGAGCCGTACTCCTCGGCGATCATGAGCAGACCGTAGCGGGACAGGTCCGTACCGTGCCCGTATGATGTAAACAAGTACTGGAACGTAGGCCACGACCGATAGTGTTGTCAGAGATAGTTGCGCCCAAATTGAGGGGATTTGGAATCGGGTCGGCATGTAGTCAGCAGGACACAGGACCGTTGTGTTATAGGGGTCCATTTTGATCCACTCGGCTGCTATCCACATTGTCGTGCCGGTTAGGAGGAGGGTTATGACTGAAAACAGCTATGGAAATTAGAGATAGAGAGAGAGTGAGAGAGAGAGAGATAGAGAGAAATAGGGAGAAAGAGCGAGAGGGAGGAAGAGAGAGAGAGAGGAGAAAGAGAAAGAGATAGAGAGATAGATTGAAACTCACCTAAAAATACGTAGTAAAACCTCCGAACCGGGAGCTCACGATAGAAAAACGGATACTTGACCATTAACAGCTTATCAACAGAGAAGATAAAATCGGCAAAACCGGTATAAGGGAAGCTGTAGAGGATCAAGAAAGAGTAGAACTGCTTCATGCAGTACAGGTTGTTGACGACGATTGATGCTGAAAACGCTGGTATTGCTCTCGCTCTCGTACTCTCTCACTCGCCCTCACTCTCTCATTCTCTCTCTCCTCTCTCTTTCTCTCTCTGCTCTCTCGCTCTCTATACAACTTACTATCCATAAATAATAACACGTAAACCCGACGCGCCATCGAGTACGCATTCGCCAATGCGTACGTAGAATCGGCGAAGCATAGAAATAGCGTAACCGCCAGCTCCTTGCGCCCGTATAGCCCACGCCAAGCAGCGTAGCACAGGATTCCGAGGTTCGAGGCGAGGACGATCGTATCTTGGAAAGTAGGAATAAGCTTAGGCCTAGCTTAGGCGGGCTTAGGCTTGGCTTAGGCTTCGGCTTAACCAACTTACTAACAACATTTTGAACGGCAATGTTGGCAATATCCCACGGGGTGGACATTGGCCAAAAATTACAGAATCTTGTTATTTTTTTTTATTCAGATTGGTATCTGAAAATCTTTAAGTAAGAATTAATATAAATGGCATATATAATCCAAAAATAATTTGTATAATAGATAATATTATTGAAGGGAGCGTGACGCGAAACTGAACAAAACATTGAGGACAAATTCCCATTCGACACTTTTTTTTTTGAAAATCCACGGTGCGCGGGAACCCTCAGTTTCGGTAGACGATTTTCGGTTGGTTCAATATTGTACTTTCTGGGAATTTCACGAAAGCTTGGCAATTCTGATGTTCAATGCCGAGCCAAGAATGAAATTCGAGGCGTACGGAGGTGTCATTCGTACTTGGGTATGGACTGACCGCGTGAGCATCGGGAAATCCTCAAGTTTCTCTGCTATCTTGCCCCGCAGGGAGCGAGAGAGTGGAGAGAGACAGAGAGAGAGAGAGAGAGAGAGAGAGAGAGAGAGAATGCTACTTCTAGTAACTTCCATCCTTCACAACCCCTTTCAGCTTGAATAAAATTTATCGCGTTTCATGTGTAGCAACAGACATCGTCTTTCCGGCCGACTTGTCCGCATTAAGCGTTCGTATAATGAGACACGCGAAGCAGACGTTGACCAACGGCTTCAGCGAATTCAGGTTGAAGAACAAGGTCGACATTGAGGTATACAAAGAAAAGCTGACGAGTCGAAGGATGTCTGGCACGACGTAGGAGATCAGATGATGGCTGCCATGAGGCTTGCTGGAACGAGTGGGATCCGTAATTTCCCCAAGAATCTCTGCTAGCCTACCCTTCCTCAAAGAATCTCTGCTAGCCTGCCCTTCCTCAAAGAATCTCTGCTAGCCAACCCTTCCTCAAAGAATCTCTGCTAGCCTGCCCTTCCTCAAAGAATCTCTGCTAGCCTGCCCTTCCTCAAAGAATCTCTGCTATCCTACCCTTCCTCAAAGAATCTCTGCTAGCCTGCCCTTCCTCAAAGAATCTCTGCTAGCCTGCCCTTCCTCAAAGAATCTCTGCTATCCTGCCCTTCCTCAAAGAATCTCTGCTAGCCTGCCCTCGCTTCCTCAAAAATCTCTGCCAGTTCCCCACTTACATCCCTTAATCGCCAAATTCGCTGCTCTCTTCTCGTAGGCGGAATTCCGGGTGAGTCTCCCGACTCTCATGCGGACAACGTAAACAAGTACAGGCACGTAGGCGATGACCGACAGGGTGGTGGTGATAAATTGAGCAAAAATTGCGGGATTCTGGATCCGTGCCGGCATGTAGTCGCCCTGGCACAGGATGCTAGTTTGCCACTCGGGTATCAGAAGCCATTGAATGAATAGCCAGGCAGTCCAGGCCATGCAGATTACGGTGGTTACTGAAAAGGGTAGCATGGATTAGGCTTAGGCTTGGCTTAAGTTTGCTTTGGTTTTTTTTGTTTTGGGTTTTTTTTTTTTTTTTTTTTTTTTTTTTTTTTTTTTTTTTTTTTTTGGGGTTGGGGGGTTTGGTTTGGGGGGGGTTGGGGGGGGGGTTTTTTTTGGGGGGGGGGGGTTGCTTAGGCTCAGGCTCAAAAACCCACCGGCAAAAACCATATAAAAATTTCTGGTTTTCATCTGCCGGTAGTGGATTGGAAATTGGATCATCATGAGCTTGTCCAGGGAAAATAAGAGATCCGCTGCACCCATGTAGCTGAAGCTGAGCAGCAGGAAGAAAGGATAGCCAAGTCGCATGCAATCTCGATTTGTCACCATTTGGGTGCCTAGAAAAAGGTTCAGCTTAGCAGAGGTCATTGGGGAAGCGAGGGCAGGCTAGCAGAGATCATTGAGGAAGCGTGGGCAGGCTAGCAGAGACCATTGAGGAGGTGAGGGCAGACTAGCAAGGATCATTGAGGAAGGGAGGGCAGGCTAGCAGAGATCATTGAAGAAGCGAGGGCAGGCTAGCAGAGATCATTGAGGAAGGGAGGGCAGGCTAGCAGAGATCTTTGGGGAGTTCGCTCTACTCACCATCAAGAAATATCGTGTAGTACAACCTTCGTGTGATCGATATCGACGCACAAATACCGTAGATAGAGTCGACGAAGCATAGAAATAGCGTGACCACCATTTCTTTCCCCACCAACCGGCGCGCAATACAGTACCCCAGCACGGCCACATTTGAAATGAGGACGGCGTACGCTGAAAAACCGCTAATTGAACCCGATCTAACCGATTACGCACTCAAAACCAGTGGCTGCCCGGTGTTGACGACGGTCCAAAAGTCCATTCTGGAAACGGAAAGATTAGATCTTTCGGTGAATATGAACTGTGGCGGGGTTCCCGGGTGTCTCAAGGTGCTAGTTGTAGCGCCCTGAGATTTCGCGGAAAGTATTTCTCATCAACCCGCGATTTTTGGCGACAAAAATTTGCCGTTGAAAATGACGCATAGAGTGGTTTTTAAAGGGGTTGAGGAAAATTTAAAGAGCGTTTGAAGGGACAGATAAAATTTTTAATTGAGAAAATTGTGAAAAATTTGGGCAGGCTAGCAGAGATCGTTTAGGAAATAGAAAAAGAGAAAACTTATTTGAAATCATCGGGATTCATACCGAAAATGAGTGTTTTTAAGCCTTTTATCTGTATTTTCTTGTATGTTTTTTGTATATAATCTCTCCTATAATAGTTCAATAAACTCTTTATTCAAATTTTCAAAAATAATTGACGCCAAAAAAACATAGAAATTAGCATAAGTTGGTGTGTGTGTTTTGGGGGAGGGAATCCTGATTCCTTGAGTATTATGCAAATGAAAGGCGCGCAGGGGAAAGTGAATAAATTGTACGAGGGGGAATCGAAAAATTGATTAAAATAAATTTTAATCAATTTAATTGGTCAAGGAGAGGTGAAAGTTTTCACAACGCTACTAGCAATGCGCAACAGAAAGATACAAGGAAATATGTAAATTGTATAGTTTAGACAAGGAAAAACTGTACAAGAGCCGGGGGATGTAGTTTGTAGTTTGTACTTTCATTGTGGAAATGATGAGGAAATCTGGATTTCATGCTCCCATTTCCGCTTTTTCTCTGGGCCCAGCGATACGGTATTATGGCTTTGGATACGGTGGCGATCTCCTCGATTTTCGACCCGTTTTCGACACGAGAAATGGCTGTTCTGCAGCCTCAATCCTCGGCATTTAGGTCTTCGACAATCTGGAATTCGGAGGTATAGATTTGACTTGAGGGTTCCTTTAAATGAGTTTAACCCCGATCCCAAAGAATCTCTGCTAGCTGCCTCTTCTCTCGTTCTCTCCTCTCGCTCTTCGCTTGTTCTCTCGCTCAATCGCTCATTCTCTCTCTCCGCCTCTCTCGCTCTCTGTCGCTCGTTCTCTCGCTCTCTCTCTCTCTCTCTCTCTCTCTCTATCTCTCGCTCTCTCTCTCGCGCCTTCTCTATGTCTTCCTCAGTCTCCCAAAATTTCTGTGCCCGATTGCGCGTTAGTGAATTCTTTCCGTAAATGATCTCTGCCAGCTTGCCAAAACAAACCTGTATAAGATTATCAATCCCCATCAGATATCCATCCTCATTATTCCCGGGTGTCCACGTGTCTCGATGGCTCAACCTCCTCCCAGCCTCTATCCGCGTTGACTTGGCGAAGTCAATCGCCCACACCCCCACTTGGTCTCTGTCGTACATCAACAGAAGAGAGCTGCCCACCACCTGAAACCTCGAGCTCAACAGGTGCAGGGAATTCATACCTCATGTGCAGCAAAGAACTCGCTGTGCTCGACGGCGTCTCGCATTTTGATGAGTCTGTTTAGGATGGCTTGACGAACTCGCTTCACATCTGCGCCAAAAAATTCGCGCATCGTCGCCGAGACGTCCTCCCAGCTGCGAACCTTCTTGAAGTTCTTTTGGAGGGAACCGCCAGGCATCTGGAAGTTGTGATGTAAATATGAATGTTCGAGAGATATATAATACGTTGGTTTCCTCAACGATCCCTGCTAGCCTGCCCCCGATTCCCCAATCATCTCTGCAAGCCTGCCCTCGCTTCCTCAATGACTCGCTAGCCGCCCCGCTTCCTCAAAAACCTCTGCTAGCCTGGCCTCGCTTCCTCAATGATCTCTGCTAGCCTGTCCTCGCTTCCTCAATGATCTCTGCTAGCCTGCCCTCGCTTCCTCAATGATCTCTGCTAGCCTGCCCTCGCTTCCTCAATGATCCCTGCTAGTCTGCCCGGACTTCCTCAATGATTTCTGCTAACCTACCTCCACCAACCCAGGATCGAACCCCGGTTGTTTGCCTGGAAAGCGCGACCACTACCAGTTAGCCATGTGCACGAGTCAAATTTTTAATTTTTCTTAAGACTTTTAGCGTTTTCGTTCCAATTTTGCGCCCTTCGAATATTGTGTGGCCCGGGGAGGGGGAATAGGATTAAAAAAACCCGTGGACGAAAAGCTGGTGGGCAAATAGATGGCGAGCAAGTGAGCCCCCCGGAAAGCAAGGCGAAGTGATGTATGTTCTTTTGTCTGCCCCCAACACGACACCCCACTCGAGTCATTGACGCAACGTGGCGAAAAGCGGAGATGTTCGGGACGGGGCAGGGGCAACAAGTTCAAGACGTTTGGGTAAATACGGGAAAATTGGATGGTCAAACGAGCGAATTCAGCCTTATGACATCATGGCTAAGTGGTAGTGCTCCAGGTTTCCAAGAAAACCACCCGGGTTCGAATCCCCTCCGAGGCAAAATTTTGCTTTTTGAAAATGACATCAATTTCCCTCTTTTGAGTGGCTGCTCACCTTGGCGGCCTCAATCCGGAAGCCGAGCTGGGCGGAGCTGCTCTCCCGCTCGCGGAACTGCATGTAGCGCAGCTTCGTGATGCTAAAATAAAGTGATAAATTGCGTCTAAAATTCCTGAAAAGTCTCTGCTACCCTGCCCTAATTTGGGACTATCATTAATGTGCGTACCTTCTCCTTTTATGCTCCTCCTCGGTGGGCTCGTCGGGGTCGATGGCGACCATCTTGTCGTAGAGGTCCGGGCGGAGCTTGGTGTTTGAAACTTCGGATTCGAGGAATGTCCTGGAAATGAGGGATTTTGGTAATTTTGCATTTTCAAGGGGCTGGGAAGCTAAGAAATCGCAGATTTTGCGTGGCAACGTGGCAGAGATTCTTTGTGGAAAGTGGTGGGGTTTTTTGGGGGAGGGGGGGAGTGGGGGGGGGGGGAGGGGGTAGGCTAGCACAGATTCTTTGAGGAAGGGTAGGCTAGCAAAGACCTTTAGGGAAGTCAGGCTAGCAGAGGTTCTTTGAGGAAGGGCAGGCTAGCAAAGAACCTTGAGGAACACGGGTTTGCAGAAATTCTTTAAGAATTTGGCATACATTATTTGAGGTTGAAATTTTTTTAAATCCCTAAATTCCTCAAGGATCTCTGCTAGCTCTCGGGAATACAGAAAAATGCTCTCAAAAATCTTAAAAGCCCAACCCACCTTGTCCCAACTTTAATATCCATAATCGCCGTATGAGACGGATCCCGGAATTGTGATAGCAAATCTTCAATCTCGATGAAGCTCTCCTCATTCTTCTCGATTTGTCGATGGAATCTGGGGGCGAAGCCGATTTCCTGGAGACGCGGGTCCTTGGATATAGCCGCGTAGGCGAGGCCCTCGGCTCGGTTTGAGCACTGCTTCTTGTAGAGGGTATTGCATGAGGCGGGGACGATGCTTCCTGAAAAAAAAGTTTTCAAATGACTTTTTTGTACAATTTTTTTCATAATTCTCTCGCTCCCTCTCACGCTCTTTTGCTCTCTCTTTCTTTCTCTCTCCCTCTCTCTCCTCTCTCTCTCTCTCTCTCTCTCTCTCTCTCACCTTCATGTCCACTCAACTGGACCCATTTCTTCAGCCGTTCCTTCAGCCAATTATCGATTGATTCCCGTGGCAGGGCTGTGATGGCCATCGTCTCCACGGAGACCTGGAAAAAAATATGTAAATTTCGTTTTTGCAAGGATTTAATTCCCCGGCAGGCTAGCAAAGATTTTTGGAGAACCCACTTAGAATTTAGCGACCCTTTAAAAGCGCTAAAAATCAAGCGCGAGGTGGCAGGCTAGCAGAGATTCTTTAGGAAGTATCACCATCGTTTTTATTTCGTTTCTGAGGGCAGGCTAGCAGTGATTCTTTGCGGAAATCAAAATTCGCTTCAAAACAAATAGGTTTTCAATAGAAAAGGGCAGGCTAGCAAAGACCATTTAGGAAATCAATAAAAAACCGGCCTTCTCCAGCTTATGCCAAATGTCAATTAACATCCGTGGGTCCAGTTTTGACGGTTTTTTAGCGGGGCACAGAAATGATGAAGCCAGGGGGAGAGGAAGCCTAATATGGCGTATATAAGCCCGGCTGCCGCCTTGAAATGAATAAGCCGATCACAGGCGACATAACCCTATTTGGCACTCGTCATTTTTGGATGCACCACGCTGGGTGACGGTTTTGGGCTATGGTTTGTCTCTCGTGCTCTCTCTCTCTCCCTAGCTCTCTCTTGCTCTCTCTTTCTCTCTCTCTCTCTGTTCCCTTGCACTATCTCCGTCCGTTTTCAAACTTTCAAACTCTTGACGTGTTTCTCCCTTCCTGTCGCTCTCACTCTCTCTCTCTCTCTCTCTCTCTCTCTCTCTCTCTCTCTCTCTCTCTCTCTGTTGCTCTCTCGCTTCCCTTGCACTATCGCCGTCCGTTTTCAAACTTTCAAACTCTCGACGTCTCTCTCTCGCACTCTCTGGCTCTCTCACCCTCGCTCTATCCGTCTCTCTCTCGCGCTGCCTCTCTCTCTCTTGATTCCCATGTGACTGTATCGAAAATCGAACCTGAAGAAGCCGAACCCCGTGAAGCGCAACCCGTGCTTTTTGGTGAGACCCTCACACAACGCCCCGAAAGCCGATTATATTGCTCGCGACGGCTACTGATAAAGGCGGGCCCCTCCAACCTTCTCATGACTATTTTCAGGCCCTTCATCTAGTCATCGCGCTTGACAACATTAACCCGAAAATCGTGCCAAAACATTATCAGCAGGAGGCAGTTGGCACAAGAATCGAAAGTTGGTAAAAACGCCTTGAAAAATTTGTCGCTGGATCCGAAAAATCAAAACTGCTTTTGAGATCCCGGAAATGTCCCATCGACGTTGTCACGATTTTTAAGATAAAAATGGCGCTCAGATTTAAATAGAAAAATCGGAATGAAGCATGAAAAATTCTGGAATTGCGGCTCTGACGTCAAAGGACCCAAAAATGTTGCGAGTCATGTAATGGATTTTTGAGGGTTGAAAGGCGAGGTAAAATTACCCACGGGAGTGAGAAAGAGAGAGAGAGAGAGAAGAGAGAGAGCGAGAGAGGAAAGAGAGCGAGAGAGAAGGGGAGGGAGAAAGAGAGGGAGATTCCCAAAGTCCTTAAAGGCTTCTAGGAAGGTCCTTTGCTAGCACAGGTCCTTTGGGAAGGCTATGATAGAGAAAGAACGAGTGAGATGGAAGACACTAAGAGAGGGAGAGAGAAAAGAGACAGAGAGAGAGGGAGAGAGAAAGAGAGAGAAAGACTAGACAGAGGACGAAAAAACCAGTGTATGAGACCATTAATGCGCCCAGAAAATGTCACGTCGCCTTTAAAGCAATAATTTACATAAAAAATCCAGAAAAATGAACAAAAAAAACCATGAAAACCAGCCGTCACTCCCCCTTTAAAAGCCGCCGAAAACCCACATCAGTATTACAAGAGAAGCTCCTCTTTTCCGCAAAGCATCTCCGCTTCTGCAGATGTCGTTGCGATATTAGCTCATAGAACGTAGGCGTGAGATCGAAGGTCTGATCCCTCCTGACAATCCCTCTACTCCCCTCCGGCACTGAGGACGCCATATCCGACGCGCATACTGTCAGCGCTAACGGTCTTGCCATCGGCACGGCCATCCAATGAGGGGATACTGTAGCGGAATACGGTACTACGAGAGGATACGGTAGACGATGTTGATGGGAGTATTTTGAAGCCGTAGTGTTGCGGGTGGAGAGTTGAAAATACGGCTCTTCTTCTCTTCGTTCCGGGACCTCCCCCGACCCAGCCAAGGCCAAGCTCCGCCCATTTTTCGGGCCTTCTCCTCCCGATGCTTTTCAATGCTTTTCCCCCGCCTATTTTGGCTGAACGAACAGTGAACACCAGCCCATTCAGAGGTTCCCAGAAAAAAACATGCGTGAATTCGGGGGGTTCCCTGTAAAATTGATTTTTCGGGAGCAGACTGGCAGTGGTTTTTGGGGAAACTGGAAGGGGCAGGGGCAAACGAGCAGAGACTCTTAAGGAAACCGCATTGATTTTGCCAGGGCAAGGTAGCAGAGATTATTGGGGGAAACCAGCCAATTTTTTAAATGCAGGTCGAGGCAGGCTAGCAGAGATTCTTCAGAATTTTTCGAAGCTCGGGAAGGCTAGCAGAGATTGCTTAGGAAGCCGCAACGCTTCCGAAAAGGGCCAGCGAGCAGAGATCCTTCAGGAAATTTCCCCATCTCCCGCCCTCCAGGTGCATTCACACCCTCAAATGTTGCATACTGTAGTCCTGACCGATTTCCCAGCCTTTCTTGAGCGTTTCTCTCCCCCTCTCTCTCTCTCTCCCCTCTCTCTCGCTCTCTCTCTCTCTCTCTCCCTTTAACGATACCTCATTGAGGCCATGTTTATTGAAGTCCCCGGGGCTTTATGATGTGCCCATTTCGGGGTGTGTGTGCATCCCATGATAAGCCTTCTTCTCTCCCTCCATCAGGCTGCTGCCGTTAACAAGCAGCGTGTGACGACCACTGTCGAAATTTTAGTGCGAAGCGCGAGTTATCGCTAGACCGGTGGAAATTGGGGGTGAAGATGGGGTTTCAAAACTGGGGGGGGTCGTGCGTAGGAAAATTCGGTTCTGATCCGTTAGCGGGGGTGGGGGGTGTTTAGCAGACGGTATGCAAATTTCCTTATTCAGCTTATTTAAACTGCTTAAAATCTGCACAAAACTTGCTTGAAAATGAAATTAATTTGATACTTTTCGTCATTTTTCGCATATTTTCTACAAAATTTTACATTTCCATAATTTTCCACGAGCTTTTTGCATCTAAAAAGCATAATTTCAGCGAAACAGTTCATAATTCGTTGCTTGGCGTCTAAAGGAACATTGGAAAGCCAGTTTCTATTTGCCAGGCCCCCGCTAGTGAACCAGCTCCGGAAAATGGGCCGGGTTCCCTCAAAATTGCTGCGACGCTCCCTTCCTCAGTGATCTCTGCTAGTCTGCCCTCGCTTCCTCAATGATCTCTGCTAGACTGCCCTTTTTCCTGGCACTGAACCAACTTTTGCGTAGAGCCTAGCCCCGCTATGAAAACGCCGGTTATCAGAAGCCAATAACCCGAAAAGACAAGGGCTTTTCAGTCCTTTATTACTTTCAGATATAAATATCCTAAGGCCACGACCCCCCAATCTCTGGCCTGTCATTAGCCGCCCTCCGGAATTATCGATTTTACCGCCTGCAAACGCTCCCGGTACCGGAATCCCAAAAAAACTCGACAGCATCGTGCTGATAAGTGTTCTGCGAAGGGGGGTGGATGGCGGGAAAATATTTACCCTGGACGAAAAATTCTAATTTGGTCAGCTGCAGGGTGAGGTGGTGATGGAGAGCGAATTTGGGCTTCAAAACTGTCGGAAAATAACTGGGAAAGTGCCAAAAGTGGCTGAAAACACCAAATTATTAATTGCTAATTTGCATGAGTTGTAAAAAAAGCCTAATTTGAATAATGCCGACTCAAGATAAGGTGAGTAACAAGATTCCTAATTTGCATAGGGCAGCAAGATGACAATTTTGACAAGTCTGTTTTCAAAGGCTGATTTGCATGCGAGCATTGCATGTGAAACCACCTAATTAGCATAATATGCATTTTCGAAAAATTGAATTTCACAAGGCCGATGTTCGATGTTATTTATAATTTGCATATAGGAATGGTATAAACGTAAAATACCTAATTTGCATAACAATAATACGTTCAAAAACCATGATTTTAAAAGTTGTCACTCAGTGGAAATACGAAAATTAGGCTAAAAATAAAAATGCATATTTTAATCTTAGCTACCGTATGTAAAGTGTACGCTGCGGTACGAGACAGTCCGTTATAGTACGCTATAGTACGCCATACGGTGTACGTGACAGTACGTTATAGTACGCCATACGGTATTGCCAAATTACCTTCTCCCAAAAGCTCCAGCTCGACTCGATTAGCAGATTCATCGCTAGCATGGCCGGGTTGAAGGGCTGCCTGCTGGGCCACGCGTTAACTTGAGGGTTTTTGCGTATACTATAAACTACAAGATAGAGAAAGACAATCGCAATAGAAAGAGAAATGCAAAGTTGACAGTAATAGAAGGTACGGTAGCTAAATTTCACGGGAATTTAAAAGGCCGTTTGCGAGCCACCCGAACTAGGCTTGGCACAGTCTGTTTTTCGACCCCACTTTTTGACGCCATCGATAGAGCATGGCGAATTAGTGGGACTGCATAGTTTTGAAAGTTTAAAAAGTTTAATTTGGGGGTTTAAATGGGCGTTGAAGTTGCAGACCCCCAAAAATTTTCTTGGAAGTTACTTAACCAACTTTGCTGAAAATTTGTGCCAATACCTAATTTTGGACGGGGACCATTTCTCTAATACACGCAAAGCGTGAAAATGGCCGGAACATAGGAACTCGCGTAACAAAACAGTTTTTCGAGATTTCGTTGAGAAGGGTTGTGGCTGCGCGCTGTAAATAGCAAGAAAGACGCAAAAACTTTCTGCATCGAATGGTGTATCATTTAGGCGCAGACAGCAACCCTTCATATTGAAAAAAAGGGCTTAAAAGCTACCAAAAAGAAAAAATCGAATATTGATGAAAACTAAAACATGGACCCCATCTAGAGAGTCCAACCGCACGACGCAAAAAAGAGCAAAAAGAAATACGAC